CCTAGGCTGATTTTTTTTAAGGTGAGGCCTCAGCTGGAGCACAGTTCCCAATGGGCACTGCAGGTCAAGCGAGCTACAAGAAACATCTCTGGAAGTGTGAGCTGAGAGGTCAGAGATGAGAATGAAATTAGGTTGGTTGAGAGTGGAAATGTGTGACAACAGTATCTAAACCCACCAAAAGTAATTACTGAAGAGGCATGGAATGGGTTCTACATATTCATGGGGAATGAAAATTGCAGACAGAAAATTTAGATAATTCACTAACTACATCCTGTAGGAAGGATATGAAGTCCTGGTCATCAGGGTTTGAAGGGCTATGAGATTGGAGGTATTTTTATGAAACCAAGCTAGAATACCTTAAATCTGGTTCAGGAATATCCTTAAGCGAATGTATGTATGTGGCCTCAGCCAGGAGCACTGACAGAGGTCATCAGTGAAGGATAGCAGCAAACTGAGAAATCGCCATCTGCAGCCATCTGTGCTTTCAGATAAATTTTTTTTTCTGACTTTCAGGGTACCTGTTGCACTTTAGCAGAAAGGAGGAGTGGTCAAATGAGTGGGATAACAAAGACATCCCCCCAGGTGTCCACAAGGGAAAACACCATTCAGCACCATTAGTACCTGATGCTGCCACTTACAAGGAGGTGTTGAGGTGGTTATCCATGACAGCAGAACAAACAGGAGGTGCTGACACTGGCAGGGGGTGTGGAATTTAGAAGGGGAAATTAAAATACTGGGAAGGAAATGAAGTGAATGGTGGATTGTCCCTCCATGGCTCTGCTGCTGCCCCAGTAAAACACTTTTTCCCAAGGCCTTTTTTCTCAGTGATTTCTTTCTTCCTAAAGCACTTCATTTAGAAAATAGACAAATTTCTTCCAGCTGCATAAATAAGTTCCCACTTGTAAACCCCAAAACTCCAGGGAATTGTTCAAAAGCATCCTGTCACTTACAGGTAGGTACATGCAGAAGCGGTAATTAGAGTAATGAGAGGAATAAAAATAATGAAGAGAAAATGCACACTGTGGAGAAAGTCTATGAAAGAAAACTGTAGGCTAAAAACATTTCTCAGATGCCAATGTGTGAGTCTCAAGCACCAGGCACTGTAAACTTGGAGAAATGTAGAATTTCTACAATAGTTTGGATGCTCTCACAAACAGCAAGAATTGGATTTCAAGGCAGCAATCAGAATGTTACTGAAAAAATATACCTTTATTTTTTAAATTACTCATTCTGTTACTTCAGTTACCGGAGAAGTATGTGTATTTTAATGCATTTATCCTTTTAATGATGCACTGCAGGTTGTTGCTACCTGTCTGTCTGGCAGGAACTATCCAACTACCATGTTGATGAAATCATACGTTCACATATTATGCAAAATTATTTAACAGGAAAAAAAGAAAAAAAAAAAAAGGCCAACTGGCATGCTTACAGTCAGGAGAATGAAGAACAACATTTCCTTGAAGAATTTACTCAAAACAGGTTTGATACTGCATGCCAAATAAAGAAGGAAGTTTCATGTTAGCATGAATTGATGAAAATTAGTGTATACTCTTTATGTGATGTATGCTAAAGGTAATGCTCATGGAAAAATACAGAAAAAAAAGCTTATTTTTTTAGTGCCTTTCTTGCTCGAATTAGGGAAAAAAAGTTGAAAGCTCCTTTTTTCACCCTCAGAGAATGAAAATGCTTAAAAAGGTGAGGAAATTTTTATAAATGTCTAAGCACAGCATTGGAAACAAAATCTGTATGTTTCAGTGTGTCAAACTATTTTCAATGTGCTTCATGCAAAAGAAAATGTCAATATAGATATATTTGCTTTGCTGATCCATTTTTCACTGAGCCTTTAAGGGCAGGCAATACAAGAGAAGAAGGGAGATGAGGCACCTTTGAACACAGCAGATAGAGCAGACTACCAAGAAATTCAACCCTTAATGTCTAGACTAAGTGGAAAAACTTTAAAAAGATAAAAAACCTCCCAAATAATCCAAACAAACAACATGGCTTGGAATAAAATCAAAAAAAATCAGAATGAAATGAAATCAACCCCCAGGCTGTGTTGGAGATGTTTTGATGCAGTTTGGTAGACCAGACTGGAGAACCACTGTCTGTCCCTGACCCAGTTGTGGAGATCTGACTCCAGTGAGCTCTACTCCCAGCCCAACTTCACATCTTTTCAAGGGGACAGATGGTCACTCCTTGTTTTAGCAGGCAGCTCTTCTACCCCTCACTAACAAATCTTAGGTGCTTTCTTCCCCTAAAGTGTGGGTTGTCACATCTTTGCCTTGGACCTGACTTCAGTTCTCTTGGCCCTCTATAAATGTGGCAGCATGCCCCTGAACAAAAAACCCCAGTAATCCTGTGATTCTGATATCTGTCTTCATATCTATGTTGGCTTTGACAGAATTAATTTTTTCAGCAAAATACTGGGCCTGTGATTTTCAGCCACTTCAGCCAAGCAGCAGAGAGACCCCAGTCTCACCAGGAACTGTGCCCTTCACTCTGGTGAGCAGAGCTCACACACAGGGAAATCACACAGGGCCGGGCTCCTTAGCAAAGGCAGAAATCTGTTTCCTTCACAGAAAGAAGTGAAAAACAAGATTTGGCATTCAGGAGCCCAAAAGGTCAGGGCTGAGCTGAATTGCATTGCATGGATTTCATTTAGGACCCAGCAGAATCTGTGCAGCGACTGATGCCTGTCCTCCTTATCCAACAAGACCTTGAAACATACCTTCAACCTAAGTAGGTTGTTGTAATCTTCTGGGGCCTATACTAGCTTTCCACTTATGGAAACCAAGCTTTGAACTCCAGGGGATGAAATGAGGTGAACACGATTGTGCATCTGGTCACAGGTATAAGATTCAGGGCACATGAAAGAGAAAAGGAGGGTGAAGGCATAGCAAAAATCTGAATTTCAGGGCGAAAGAGTACATATAGTTTGTGAACTGAAGAAGTAACTTCAAGAGTTTTAAGAGAGTCGGCGTTTGTGGGTCAGCAAGCAAGGAAATGCGAGAGACTAGCAGGACATGTATTTCACTGCAGGTGACTTGCACCACAAAGTCCCAGCATGACCAAAGCTAAAGAGGTCAGATGTTGAGAGGTATAAACAACCATCATGTGAGATCCTCCAGTGCATCATGAGGAAAGGAGGGGAGCTGACTAATCTTACTCTTACACTCATTCTTAGCGTAAAGCCCTTTATAGTATGACATTCCTCAGCAGTATCTCATACTCAGGGAACAAAAGGAAGGAGACCAGACATCTTTGGGCAACTGTTGCTCACTTTAGAACACTCCCTTCCAAAAATCAAACTTCTCTAAGTCATCTTGTTTGCTTCCTTCTGAGGTTATGTTCTTACCATCAAGGCAGTTCATCAACAGACTGATGATAAACTTATTGCCAACAAAAATAGTTCCTTTTTCTACAGCTGGAAGAAATGCAGCAATTTCAGTTCCTCAAATGAGCTGTGCTGCTGTGGCAATTCTTTGAGCCTGGCTTAGGGGTACACCATCTTAACTTGATGGGTGTTTTCTATAGCCTTAGTTAAACCCATAGATAGGACTTGACCTTTTCTCACCAATAGTTTTGTAAATTGATGATGTACTTTGCAAAAGCTAAAGCTCAGATGGTAGTGTGCCGTTTTTTGGTAAAAAAGGCTTTAAAACACAAAGAAAATGAACATATACATAAATAAACTATTATAAATGTGGATTCCTTTACTATTTCTTGTGAAATCCAACTCCTTTTCCATGTTTGCATTTATCACGTAGATGATTCGGAGATAACTTTTTGTAATCGAGCTAGAGCAAATCCAAAAGGGCAGGCTGAAACTGGGTTGAAGAACACTGTTATTTTGGATGGTGACTGAGCTTCATTTTTTTCATTCTTTCCTCCAGTCCTACTTTTTCACATACCCTGCTATTCCACAACAACAGGAAGAAACCAATGAGTGAAAGCGTTATTAGGAGATACAACATCCACTTGAAGAGTCGTAATGCCTGGTGTTCAAGGGGATGCTGGTAGCGAGTACACTGAGAAGGCTGAAGTACACACACTGGGTAATAATAATAGGTGTGATGGAGGGCAGACAAATCCTGCTACTTCATAAGGTAGGCGTGGTGGCCATGGAAATTAGAATCACTCTCTGTCAGACATGGCCTACACATTCGTGTTGGCTGTTCCACAGTGGCTATGCCGTGTCCCAGCTCCTAAGAGCATGTCTTAACGTATCCATGGGACTACCTGGCCCCTCTGTGGGGGAACGAGGTGCGATTTAACCCTCAATTTAACATCCAAAGGGTATTAAATGGGCCTTCAGAGCCTTCACGGGGGCGGGCAGAGGGCTGCCCTAGCAACAGGGTCTTAACCCTGACGCCTGCCAGCCCCCAGCGAAGGCTCGCTCGGGTCAGGGCGATGAGGGGAGCAGTGTGATCCGGGGGGCAGAGCTGTGCGCTCCCTTCAGGGCGCCCCACGACGCCCAGCCGGGCCCGTCGGGGTCGCAGACCCCGCTCTCTGCCCCCTCACCAAGCCAACGGGGCCAGGGCCGGGCACAGGGTAGGCGGTGTATCCCCGGCGGGGCACAAGCGGCTCCCGGAGCACCGAGGAGCTTCCCCCCGCGCCGCGGGGCGCATCCTCGCTCCCCGCCGCGACGCCGACAGCCGAAGCGGCCGTAAACCGGCTTACGCCCAAGGCGATTTGTCCGTAATCCGCTGGGCTTCCCGCGACGGGAGGGGCGGCCGGGGAGCCCCCGGGGCGGCGCGGCGGGGCGGGCTCCGCTCCGCGCACCGCCGGACACGGCGGCGGGGATGGGAGCGGCGCGGCAGCTGCAGGCCGGCTCCCCCGGGAGCCACCGCTGAGCCCGGTGGCCGTGGGAGGGAGAGGAGCCGGGCGGGGAGGGAGGAGGGGGCCTGGACGGGGCAGGGGGAGAAAAGGGAGGAGCGGGGCCAGGGTGGGGGGAGGACGAGCGGCGCCGGGGAAGCGCTGCCAGCCGGAGCAGAGGCAGCGGCGCGAAGGAGGCGCAGCCCGGCGGACACGGCTCCGCTGCCCGTCGGCGATCTCCCCGCGGAGGTTGGAGATCTGCTGCGGGGTGATGGAGGAGCATGGGTACCCTTCCTATAGCACTCGCAGCCCCGCCTGGGAGGAGCTGGTAGGTACATGCGTGCCTTGCCTTTACACAGGCATTTCCTACCCTTTTTCCTGCCTGTATTGTTCGGCCGGGGGGTCGGGCTGTCATCCTTATCTGTGCCCTCCAGCCTCCCCTTCCCTTCTTCCGACCCCGCTCCACGCCAGAGCCCGACCACCGGCGCTCGTCCCCTCCCCGCAGTGAGCGGAGGGGTAGCAGCCTTTCGCCCCCGCCGTGTCCGGCCATTTGCTGGCGGGCTTGTCCCTCTGGGATACGGGGAGTTCATTGCCCTTTCTGAGTTTCACTCCCCGGGTGGAAAGCCTGGGATTAGCACCGAGAGCCTTGCCTCCAACTTTGCCGGTGTGGAGGGGGGTGGGTTGGATGTTGATACCATTAAACGCCTTCTCTTAGCATAGCAAAAGCAACGTGTCCAAGCAGCGTTGGGAGGCAGTTTCCAGAAAGACACTTTCCCCCCCTTCTGTAGCCAGGCTGGAAATCGTTTCCATCGCGTCGGCAAAGTGGGCTGGGGATGGGCGTACCCTACTGTCACCCTGCTTTGTGGGGTATGGGTAAAGTGTGTGCCTTTGGGTTGCAACGAAGGGAGGGCAGTGCCCAAAACTAGCCGTGAGGAAAGCTGCGGTGCGGTGGCTTTGCGGTTTGTTTAAGCAACTCGAAGACCCTCCTTCCAGCCAAAGGAAATCATGTCACCGGCATCCTCAGCAGGCGATAAAATCAGATTTCCCTTTTCAGAGCAGTCTGGTCCCGGTCTTGGACTTTTCTCCATTGTGCAAACACACACACATCAGGCAGGGAAGGCTAAAAATAGGCTTTGGGTAACTGCTTGGGAGATTTCAGGCTATCTGAAGAGGTCAAGGCTAGGCTGTTTCTGGCCCTGAACTTGGTGAGGCAACATGAAGCTTGGACCCATGCCACTGCCAGACTCCTCTTTAGATAGCTTTGCCATGTTTTGCTAACTCCTTGTGTTGGTCCACGCCCCCTGGTTTTACTTGTAAACCCAGTTTTAAGGAGCAGACAGGAGAGAGCTACACTTTGTCTGGATCACTGTGTGCATTCTCAGGACAACAGCAGATGAGCCCTGGAGATACCCACAGTGAATTAAGTTTACTCCCTCCCTTGTTATGATCTGTAGCCCTCCCAAATACATTTGTACTATCCTCATTTTTGTTGTGAAGCTGAACATCCCCCTTCACTGCCCTCTGCAGTCCTCAAGCCCCGAAACTGTTGCCGGAGATGCAGCTGTGATAGGGAAAACAGCTGTATGCGTGTTCCGGTAACATGGAGCTGATACCGAAAGGATCAGGCAAGAGAAACCCGAGATTTTTGCCTGGAGAGATGAAGACGTCGTGGGAGGAAGGCAGCGAAGCCGATTCCCGCGAACACGTTATCCTATTAAGAAGTGACATTTAAATTGCTGCCGTCATCCAAAACTCAGCCGAAACTCGGGAGGCAGATGGATTGCAGCCCCTCTCTGCTTGGAAATGCAGAATCTTGGCTGAAACGTCCAAATCCTTTTCCTTCTGTGACCAGGGCTTAGATAAACAAGGAGCACTTTTTTTTTTTTTCCCCCCCTCTCCATTTCCCCCTCCCCCATTAAGGGCTAGGATTTGGGTCATGTTTATCATTTCATTGCTGCATTTGTTAAAGAGTACACCCATGAATGCAGTTTTAAGGTTAACCACTGCACTGATTTCCTTTACCAGACTAATTTCAGTTGATCCACTCAATCATTTGCCTGGTAACCTGCCGGTAAAATACATAGTCTTTGTGGCAAAAGCCACATTGTCCTTTGCATCTGCTCATAAGCAGGCTTTTTATGATAATGGGGGCAAAGGGAGATTTCGGTGAAGATCTGCATGATGAAGGGGAAAAAATAGTACACAGACATCTCCCCTGCTCTCAAAACACAGGAAAAAGAGCAGCAGGCTAGGGGAAACTTTACTGCAGGTTTTGAACCTGTGAAAATTAATTATCTATGCAAATCATCAGACTATTGGGAATTGCTCTTCTTACAGTTTTTCTGAGAAATAAGTGATGGACATCAAATGCAGCCACAACTCCTTTGCCTATCCGGTTTGAAGTTGTCTGTGTACTAATTCAAATTTCTATAAAATTCTTTCTTTTAACTTGCAACTCCCTTTTTAATGGAAAACCTCTTCCTGAATCCACTAAGAATTGCATTAGACCCTCCCCATAATGGAGCTAAGTAAATGTGATATAAAACGTAAGGCGTTCTTCCAAGAGAAAATCGATGGTGTTACACTAAAAATGTGCATAATACATATCTTACAAAGCTCTAGACCCAACTTTGATATTTTTCATGAGACCTGAGTCTTGGCTTTACCTTCCTCTTGAAATGTGCTAAGTCCTAACACATGTGCAAAGCGTCTTTTTATTTTTATGACCTTCACTTGTTTGGACTTTTTCATTCTGAAGCATGGTTTAGTAAGGTTTTCTCAACATTGTAACCTACAGGTTACAGGATTGCCTTGGCTAATCCCAAACCAACCACAAGCGATGTAGTTATAGTCTTTAACAGTGGTATGGATACATTTGTTATATTTTAGCTTCCTCTTTGGCAAGTAAGGAAGCCAAGAAATAATAATATCACTAACTTGATCTGCAGAGGGAGTTCAGACAGGCAGATGTGAAATGAACTCGTTCAGAGTGGGGAGCCCAGTTTAAAACTCTATTTATCACTAACCACCAAAATTAGGAAAGATTCAGTAAAATCTTTTAAACATGGCAAACAGGGTTAAACATTGTTGACCTGACAGATATACCACTATTGATCCAAATCCCCTCAGAACAACTTTTTGAGGTGAAGGATAAAAAAGTATTACCCTTCAGTTTATAGATACCAAAGTGACCTAGAGAAAAAGAGGTAGATATGCTTGTTATGAAGGGAATCAATCTTAGAGCTGGAATCAAATAATGCAGTAATCTGTACTATAAACTATAATCTCCAGCGCAGATAGAGTGCATGAGTATTTGATTTTTTTTTTCTACACTGCATATGCATTTTATCAACACATATTCTATTATTGGGACTCAATGTGGTTAAAATGTTTTCACAGTGTATATAAAATGTATACAATATCACAATGTAAATAGTGAATAGAAAGAGCAGCTCATCAGCTGATATTAATTGCCATAGCACAAATGATGTCAGCAGAGCTGTTTTTTATCAGTAGTATCTGTTGAGCATTTTCCTTTAAATGCCAACGTTTTTTTAGGCTTTTCACCAGCCTTCCCTCGCTTTAGTTAGGAAATTTAAGGTCATTACTAAGTAGTGTAAAACAGAGAATGTTAAATGAAAGACACAGTGCATGCAGATATTGCATGTGTTTTAATGGCTGCATATAGTCCCACATTGTTCGAGAGCCTGACTTGCAGAAGTCTAGTGCTACCAACTGTACTACAGTATTTGTAGATATGTTCACTGAGCTGACATCAATCACCTGGGAGAAATTCAACTGTGAGATGAAGCAATAAAAGTCAAGTTGCAAATCCTTATTGAGGTGAACTTTCATGGCTACCTTAGGCAGCTTTACCTGGGTAAAAGCTGGAACTGGACCCTGATTTTTGATTAATACTTTGAAAAGAAGAACAAGTGGAAATGGTGAGATCCTTAAAATGTTGTGCATGGACAACGTATATGTTTGTAGAAAAAACTTTCTGTGCTAACATGAATAACTCCTGTACTTTCAACAATGCTTTACACTTACTTGGTTTCTCCATTTTGAAAAATGCTGTAAACATTAGGTGACTGCAAATTTTAGAGCCTGTAATTTTACAGAAGCCACTATATTCTTCTCAGAAACCATATGCACATTGAATGGCACATGAGGGACATTTCCTATTATTTGTAGATTTAGGTTATTACTACTAAAATCTTCACCTTAAGTAACCTGAGAAAACGTCCCTAGTCCTTTTTTATTTTTTCCTATGGCACTGAAGTTTATCAAGATATGATGAAAGAGACTTGCTTGTAAGTGAAAGGCAGGTGTATTCTTTCCTGGTAGCCCCACTTTTTGTTTGGACAGGGAAGATCACAACGGGGCAGCCCGTGTGAGGATGGATACCCATGCAGGTACCCTCTGAATGGCGCAGGAAGTGTGCAGCAGCTAGTGCTGATAATTAAGCTCCTAAAGGGAACAGAAGTTGAAAAATAGTATTTATTATCTAAAAGTAACTAGTGTTGCTCAGCTGGTACTATTTAACTGAGTTGAATTAAAAAGATTAGTCCGGCTTGCTGGTGTTCTGTTAGCACCAAGAGTTCTTCAAATCACAGTTACTATTACATACATGTTAGCATTAATTAGCAAACTATGTTTCATTGTCCTCTTGTGATATTCAATTATCATTTACCTTAAAATAATCAAGGAGTTGCAGTAAGATATGTTCTGGCATAATTTGCTATTGCTGAAATTAAGATGGGGAAGAGAAAGAGAGAGGGTGGAAAGACAAAGTGTCCATAGACATTGCTCTTAACTATCTTAGCTGTGCCCTAAATTAATTCACTGGAAGCAATATATACTTGCACTTGCTCAAGTTTGATCCATGCTTTTGAAAAAGGAGAAGTCCCTCTCAGGTGAAGAGTGAGACAAGACAGAATTATCCCTTAGTTTCACAATTAGCCTGTAAGGAAAAGGACCTATATGAGAACTTCACATACTTTGAGATGTGGCATTAATGGTCAGATTTAGGCCTTATTATTATTCTAATAGGAAATGTAGGTGATTTCATCAAAATTCCTTTAAAATATAACTTAATAGGTATTTTGACTTTTTTAATGTTACTTTTGACAATTTTTAAAGTATAACCCAATAGAAGTGATCCTATGTGGAGAAGCGTAGTACAATCACATTTGAAGTACCTGGTGCAGTAATACAGAACTAAGCTACAAGACCTGCAAGGCTTCATGGAAATACGTACTTTCCCCTACTCTGAATAAAAGTCCCAAAAAAAGAAACTGGATACTCTGGACTATATAAAATTAAGACCATGGCAAAGTGTCTACAGCATACACTAGATAGTACACTGTGGGTTTGTTTCTCACTAACTGCTTTGTATTTAGGTACTCCAGCATTTTATTAAGATATTTCAGTTCCCTTTCTAGAAATATAAATAGAATTGTGGGGATATATAAACCACAAGTATTGATTGCTTTCTTATGTTTAATCCAGCCCATGCAGCTAGAAGTTGTGTGTTTTGTTTAGTATTGCTGTGATTTAAATGCTTATTTTGAACACTGACTACATACAAGCCACAATAATTTTCGAAGTCCCACAATTCAGAACATGTGGTGACATTTCGAGATCGTGCGAGCTGCCAGATCTGAGATTAAAAGGGAAAACTGACCCTTTCTTTCTCCAGAAGTAAAGGCTGCTCTTTTACAAAGACAAAAATTAAATAGAATAATATGAAAATTAAGCTATTAGGAGAAAACAACTGGAAAGCAATGGATGCATTTGCTAAAACTGTCCGGCGCTTTGGCACTGATGGACAGATACCACGGGGTCGGCTGGCTGGAGGCACAGATAAGGAATCCATCGCGTTAGATGCCGGCCGTCCGGTCCCGAACAGACATGCTGCTCTCCCAGGGGAGAGCCCTCGGCCAGGAAGGGGCAGCGGCAGGGCACGCCACCGGCGCCCGCAGCCGGCCGCTTTCGCAGCCCTCGCGTTCAGAGCTCGACCCTTGCCCCGCACCGGGGGTGCCTCGGTGCCACAAGGCGCACGGCGGTGCCCGGCGCGGGGCGGGAGGTGTTCGCTCCGATGCCGCGTCCCACCTCCCGGCCACGCCGGCACATCCGGGGAAGCCCGGGCAGGTGCGGGGGCGCCGGGCACCCTCCCCGCTCCTGCTTCGTCCCCGGGACTCGCCCCGGCGCTCACCTGCGGAGCGGGCACCCCCACCCCTGAGGCGGCTCGGCCGGCACCCGGCGCCCCCTGGAGCCGGCGGCCGCCTGGGCGGCTCCCCCTGGGCAGGGGCGCAGGGGGCCGGGCCCATCCTGCCCGGCCCCGCCCGCCGGCGGGTGGCGGTGCCCCAGTGCCTGCGAGCGGGCAGAGGCGCCCGGCGTGGCCCGCGGCCCTTCCCCGCGAGCGGGGGCGGCGGAAGATGGCGGCCGGGCGGGCCGCCCCGCTCCGCCAGAGCCCGGCGTACCCCGGCCGCCACCGCCTCCGTCCCCGCCCCTCCGCACCGCCTCTTTCCCCACCCTCCCGCGTCTCCTCCTCCTCCTCCTCCTCCCCGGGGAGGGGAGCGGCAGCGACTGCCCTGGCTGAGCCGGGCTCGTGTGCTCTCTCTCGGTAGGAGTCCGGGAAGATGGCCGGGGCCGAGTCGGGGATGAGCGGCGCCGGGATCCCGCAGCAGCCCCAGCCTCAACCCCCGGCGGCGGCGGCGGGGCCGGCGGACGAGTCGTCGGACAGCGAAGGGGAGCACGAGGGCCCCCAGAAACTCATCCGGAAAGTGTCCACCTCGGGCCAGATCCGCAGCAAGGTAAGGGGGGCAGGAACCGGCCAGCCCAGCCACCTTCGGGGCCGCTTTCTCCATCCCTATTCCAGAGCGGGCTAGCCCGGAGCCGGGGGCGGCCGCTGCATCCCGCCCGCATCCCCGGGAGCGGCGGCGGGGGGGGTAAGGCAGCCGTGCCTCTTCCTTCCTTCCCTCTCCCCTCCTCCCCATCCAGCTGTTGCGTCCACATCTGTCCCCGGCTGGCAGGAAGAGCCCCCCGGGGCGGCGGGGCTCCGCGGGGCCGGAGGGGAAGCCGCCTGCCCCGGCGACCGGCAGCCGCCCTGCCCTGCCGGGCGTCCTGGGTGTGGGGGAAGCGGCGGGCTGCCTCCCTCCCTCCCTCCTTCCCTCCGGCTCCTCTTCCTTGGCGGCGGGCACCGCTGCCGCGGGGTTCCCGCCCTGCTGCCCCTCGGCGCGGGTGGGCTGGCTCAGCAAGCCCTTCCTCACCAACTTTTTTCATGCCCGCACCTACCCTTTCTTGTTCATCCCTGATGCCAGGGGCCGCCGCCGTACGGCCCCGCCAGAGCGGCAAGCACCGAGCCCGGGGGGGCATGCCGGGCTCCCGTTCGGGAGCGGGAGTGCCGCGAGGGAGAGAAACGCGGTTTCCAGTTTGAAAGGCACCTCGCGGAAAGAGGAGTAAACTTCTATACATCCTCGCTCGTGGGGACTGGTTATGTAGAGCAGCTGTCAAAATTTCACCTTCATGCAGTTTTTTTGGCTGTCTCGGACTGCCAAAGTTAATTCCCAGTGGAAATAATTTTTTTTTCGTGGATGGTGTATTTATATAACTTCCCCCCCCACCCCTCCCGAGAAATCAACAAGCATGCATTTGAACTTATAAAAATAATGAGACCTGACTTACTTTCTCTGTAGAAGTATCCCATGACGTACTACAAAGCATAGTCTACAGTTAGTGATCAGGTCTGCACAAAACCCCATTGGGGAAAGCTTATGGATGCGGTGACACCAAGATCAGTTATTTTGCTGGAAGTGTGTTGTTTGAGGGGCATAGTGACTCAATACAGCCCCAGACAGATCAAACTTAGAGCTTAATTTCTACACAATAGCTCATGTGGCATTGTGTCCTTTACAGAGGACCCATTAAAGTTAGTTTGTGGAGTCCTGTCAGATTGGCGCTGTTCTTCCCTTGAGCTTTTGCTTCACATTAGGTACAAAAAGGCAGCCTTAGACAGAAAACTAGGTAGATAAACAGTAGTATTATTCCTTTATGTGAGGTGGAAAGCAGTTTTTCCCTGAAACCTCCTAAACATGTTGTGTCATTCCACATTACTGCTAAATGTTAATTTTGCTTTTGCAGATTTTAGGCCTGGCTGAAATGTTATTATAGTAGATAATATACAACTGTTGCATTGTGTTGGAAATGTAGTCCTACAGAAACTTTCAACTTTAACATGCTTCTGTGTGGTGGTCTTCAAAATGTTTTAAAAGTGACAGAACACAATGCCTATATTAGCTGTAATGGGGCTAAGTGCATTTGAAGGTTTGCTCTGAGAGAGGCTGATACTTGCATAAGGAAAACATGCAGATTATTTGTTGCCTTAGGTTTGTGAGTTCGAGATCCCAGCCAACTCTTGCCAACTGTTACAGATTGGTGGGATATTCTGTATCTGAGGGCTGTGAATGAATGCAGAGCTCTGATCCGCTGAAGATCTAAGGCACCTCTACAAAGTGATACTTTTGCTTATCCTAGTTTGCTTCTCAGTTCTATTTCTGTGAATCAGATATATATAGGAAAAACTGTCTGCTGACATAATTGGAGTCATAAAGTGTTGTTTGGTTGCAATTTACAGTGTAACTCCGAATATAAATATCTTTCTTTCCATTTAATTAAAAGTGATATATCATTGTTAAAGATGAGACCCATGTTAAATAATTCAGTAGCACTTTATTTTATAACTCACGATGCATTATTTAAAAGTAGCTATATTTAGACAGACAACTCCCGTTTAGTTTAAGGGTGTTGTATGTTTGCTGTTGTAGTAGTTGGTGATCAGTGGTTACATGAAACCACTAGAACAAGGAACATCAGGGAGCTGCTTTTTTGCCCAGCTAGTCCCTTTCATTCAAATTAGATTTGTTAAGCTTCACTGACTTGGTGGATGTGTTTGTAAGCTAAGGTTTTAATTAAATGGATTGGGTTTGTCTTACGTCTAAGAATAGACTTCTGAAAAAACACAAAACATGTATATTACATTTATCATTGATGCTTCTGGGCCATTTAAGACTGTGCTATTTTTCTCCAGAGGTTGCTTATTTACTTGAGGCATTTCAGTAACATGGTATTGATTCCTTAGCTCAGCACTATACCCCAAAGTCTCTGCTGGTAATTGTTTTTATTTTACTTAAGGAAGATGTTATTTTTAGATGTTTTGGTACAGTTCATCATTTGTGAAAGCTACCATATGGTGATATTTTGCAGATAGAATCACTCAGGAGCAGATTTTTTTAACATGTGTATAATAAGATCGAGCAAATATATGTATGAAAGCAAATCTGCTTTCGTAGCACAAGCATAAACCTAAAGATTTCTAACACCAGTAGTGCTCAAAGGGAGAGTACAAGTTATGATGCAAAGGACTAAACTATTCTTTGGGCCAACATTTTGTTTGTCACTAGGAACTGTTTGCTCAAGCCCATACTTGGTTATAGAAGGACACTGCAGCAGTAGATATTTTTAGGGGGGTTAGGACCAAAACTGATTAGCACTTTTGTGAGGTTAAAGCCAGGATCTTTAAACCTTGTTCTGGAAGTTGTTGCATCCGTGGAGTTTGTGTGTGTTCCCTGAAGGAAATGCAAGCGAATAAATAGGTGACAGATACCCTATGAAGTTTAACCCCTTTTGAGCCAAAATCCCTAACAGAGAGTGTTGAAACAATTCTTGGTTTTGTCACATCTATTTACTGTTCTCCCTCCTCCCTGACCTCCCATTCTGAGAGACCTGAATATTTAATACATAAAAAGTGTGTTGGTTAAAAACATTTTAAGAATATATATTTTGGTTTTGTGAGAACTTTGGAAAACTGCAGTCAGACAGTTTTGAAGCAGTATATATGACAATGTACTAAAAGGGTTATATTGGAGATTGAATTCATGGAAAGTTTTCTGTGCGTCTGTGTTAAACTTGGCTTCTTCACTTTTAAAGATGCTGGTTGAGACGTGCAGTGTCAGTGCCTTCCTTAAACAGATGACTTCAGTTCTTGGGGTTACAGCCTGAAAACTGCCTGTCATCAGCTGGCTTCTAGTTTCCTTAAAGTTAGTCACTAATGCAAAGTACATTCCTTAAAAAGATGGCCATGCTTCAGTTCTTTATAGTTGGAATGTGTCAAGAAGGGAAGGTTCAAATCAGAGCTGACGTTTTTGCTCTTTAAATTCTGCTCACCTCGAGGATGGGTAAATTAATAGAGATTAATAAATAAAATAGTCCCTGCATACTAGGAAGCAGAGTTGTCAAATGAGCACAGTTACAGGTCCTGCTCTTCTCTTGAGTACTCTGCTAAAAAATGGATTTGAAGAATAGCACTTTTATCACTGACCTGGCTTCCTCCTTTAGCGGGTCCATGTCCAGTTAATGCAAAAGCTCTACTGGATATGTGTTGTGCTCTCAAATCTGCATTGGGTATCTGACCTGTGTCTATTTTTGTATGAGGCAGGCATTCTGGAGCAGAAAATATAAATCAGAAAATGCAAGAAAATAGGGGGCATTGAGCAAAATAAATGTACTTGTAGGGTATGTGGGAGAAGGCTTTCTTCCTCTCTTTCACCTCCAGTGGTTTTTATTAGTAATGAAATTGCTGCAACATGGGAGATATTCAGAAACATGAGTGTGTTACGATTAGTGGAGATAATATGGTGTTGTTTCATTAAACGGAAAGAGTTGTTACTAGAATTTTCTTATCTGAGGCCTTAGTATATTTTTGAGGTATCCTAAATCATTATGGAGTAATAAAAGTAAATTAATTAAATTCCCCACTGTGATTTTATTGGCCTTAGCGGATAACACCAGCCATTTAGGAACTGAGCCTTCAGAAAGTTTCTAACCTTTTCCATATGGTGACATTTGACAGTGCCAAGTCCCAGTAGTCACTTCCTGTTTGTTTCTTGTATACATTTCTCTCAGATTACCATAGCTTGTTAATTCACCTACTTGTGAAGTGCTGTGGGTGATACCAGCGTTATACTGTGTGAGCATCATTCTCTGCAATGTAATCTACTTTGCCTAGTTTTGATGGTTCCCAATCTACTCAAATAAATAGTGGTTGATTCCTTTTTGCTTAAGGAAACATGATTTTTTATGCAACAAAAGTTCTCAGGAAAATGCCATGGTAGCAAAGTTTACCCTAGTGGGGATCCTTTATATGCATTAGGATTGTGTGAATCTGCAGAGCTTCAAAATACATTGCAATTTGTAATTTATTCGGAAACTGAAGCAGTATGAATAGTGTCACTAAACTTCGTGTTTACACAGCATGGGGCAGAACTGAAGTGACCAAGTGCAAAGCAATCAACTTCAAGTTCTTGGCACCTGATAATATTCACAGAAGAGACTGAAGAGTGCTGCAGGATATCTGTCTTCAGTATTCATATTTTCCATCATTTTCATTCTGCAGATAAATTAGTTGTACTGTATATCCATCCTTAGTAAAATATTTGACCATCCTCCCCCTCCCCCCCCCAAACTGTTGTAAAATCTGGCAAATTTGTTTTCCTTCCCTCATCCTGGGGACTTTAACCTATTTTTAAAGTGAAATATTTAGAATCAGTTCATTAGTGTATGTTCCTGATACATGCAGATATGCATACTTATGCACAGGGCAATATATTTTAAGTTTTCACATACAGATGTATACATATATATATATATATAGTATTCCGTTCCAGAATATCTCTGGGCAAAGAAAACAAGTAAAACCAGCATGTAATGGTGTGCAATATTTGTTGCTTCTTATAATTGCTGTGTCTCTATATAAGCT